CTTTCTCAGCGGTGGCGCCTAAGTTATGGAATGCGCTCCCCAGAGAGGTCCGCCTGGCGCCGTCGTTATTTGTTTTTCGGCGCCAGGCTAAGACCTTTTTATTTAAGCAACATTTTAAATGCTAAATACAATTGAATTTTATCTGGCCAGGGCGGCTTATTTTATAATGTGAGTTTTAATCAAGATTATTTTATATGGATTTTAACTTGTTTTATCTATGTTGTAAGCCGCCCCGAGGCTTCGGCGAATGGGGCGGCATAAAAATGTTTTAATAAATAAATAAAATAAATGTTCCAGGCTGGCTGCCAGGGCTGCGTGCAGAGCTTGTCCACACCTACTTGCTAAGTCCCTGCTTCTTATACTCTTTTTTGATCTTATCTTTTATTTTCAGCTTAGTGAGAAGAATTGGCTTGTCACTCACCGAGGCAAATTTGGAGGCTCATGGAACATTGCTTGGCCTATCCTGAAAAACCATATGGCCACAGATAAGGGAACTGTGAGCTTTCTTTTGCTTGAGTATATTTTGTATCCATGTTGCTGTATACAGTAAACCACATATTAAGATCTGACACAAGTGGTTTCATTTCTTCCTCAGTATTCTCAAATCTAAAGTGAGATGCCTTGGCTAGACCAGGCCCCCAGGTATTTATACACATGACATTACACTTTCTTTCCAGCCTATCACTTATTTGGGTATAATACACAAATGGCATAGCACTTTCTAAACCACATTTAACCAGTTGGGTAACAAGAATATCATGGGATAAACAGTACTGAAATCAAGATATACTACATCCACAGTGTTCCCCTTACCTACCACACTAGTAACTCTATTAAAAAAGTGATTGGGCCAGTCTGGCAGGGCTTATTCTTGAAAATTCCAGGTTTGATCTCTGTAACAACAGTATTGTTCTCTAAATATCCATGGACTGCTTAATTATCTATTCTAGAACCTTTCCAGCTACCAAAGTCAACCTGAGAAGTTTGCCTGGCACCAACACTTTTTTCTTTTTGGTGCCCGGAGAAAACCTTTTTATATTCCCATTATTTTAATGTTTAATTGGTTTTAATGTGGTTTTACATTCTTGCATTATCCAGTGCTGTGCCATTTTATTTTATTTCCTATTTTACTTGATGCTTGTTGTAAACTGTCCTGAGACACCAGTAGCTGGATGGTTCATAAACGCTTTAAATAAATAAAATATGCGCCGGTTTACTTGATCCTCTTTTCAGAAACATAGAAACAGAGCAAGTCAGAAGGGGCCTCCCAGGCCATCTAGTCTGACGCCCAGCTCTAGCCTGCTTCACTCATCACATGCCTACCATGTGCAGATAACATTATGGCAATTCACTTCTCCAAGAATGCTGCAACTTGACTGGGCCCTGAACTAAATAGTGAGGCAATGGAAAACAGCTTACTCTGTGCACTGGTATCTTACTTCACCAGATAGTTGAAGGACATCAATATGCAACTTAATTTACTTCTGTGCTAGATCAGCATACCAAAAAACACAGAACTAAATAATAAGAAATTATTAGCTTCTGTAGCAGTACAACCTTAGATTCCCCCATGTGTTTCATTCTGTTATACTGTGAAGGTGCATAGTGGAGCTTCTTAGGCTTACATTACTAAGGACTATAACTGAAATGGTTGTTTTACTGAACAATGTTCTGGATTATGATGCATTGCAAGCATTTGTATTTTATGGCAACAAGAAATTTTATCTTAGTGAAAACAGAAGGTGAATGCCACATTTTTGACTGACCCGCCTGCTGAAGGATGTCATATAAGATGTTTATCATCCAGAATATTAATTGGTTTCTTTTGGTGACTTTCACTGATAAACATGTTGTGTTGTTCTTAAAACACCTTATTAACTCATAAAATTGTATTTCTATCACTTTATTTGACAGTTAGAGATTAGTTACATTTAATTAATTAAAGGCATGCTTTTATAGGCAAGTTTTAAGATGTTAAGTTCCTAGATTTGCTTCGATTCTTTTCACTTAAAGAAGAGCACTTTAGATAAAACACCCCATGGACTTTGCTGTGATATACCAGTAAGTGCCTATAGTTACTGTACAAGTCCTTAACAAATGAATGTGAGCTGATGCAGAATGGCTTTTGAGGTGAGCATGTTGCTGTTACGTTGAAAGAAAAAGAGGGACCCCAAGATCGAGAATACTGAGAACGCTGAATATTGAGGATTGGGAGAAATGTGCCTGTGATCTTTAATTACCCTGTGGATGTGGCTCAAGAGTGTGGCAGCCATAGAACATGGGTCAGAGTGAGGTATATACCTGATGTCCTGAAAGGAGGTAATGAAAGGAAGGGAAGGCATGGTGCTTGATTTCCAGGAAAATAATGAATTATTTTTACACTGAGAGTTTGAAGAGAGCTGCTCTCGAGCAGTACCTGAAAAGTGATCTCCCCACCCATATTTCTCAGTGGGTATTCCTGACCTCAAGGAGCCCCATTTATCCTGGTGTACTCAGGTTGCTTCGGACTATAACTCCTAGCATTCCTGACCACTGATGGGGCAGATGGTTGTATTAGGCTTGAACCATTGTGGATCAGCTCCACAAAGGAAGCCCCAGCCTTGAGTTTACAAGAGCTGATCAAGACTGTCAAAGACAGGGCAGGACACTTCGGAAGGCATTCATTCACAGTATCACTTATTCTTTTTATTTATTTATTTATTTATTTATTTAAACATTTGTATGCCACCCAATTGTGTCACAGCACCATTTGATGACCCATAACAACACAACAACAAAACCTTATTAACTCATACAGGTGTTCATGCATTCTTCCTTGACTTGCAACGAGTTCAAACTTTAATGAACTATTAACTAAACTCATTAAAAAGGCCCTACACTAATTAGGATTCCCCCCAAATTTCAAATGTATATTTATAGTTATATATGAGATCAGGTTTTATGATGAGAAGGCTAACTTCCCAAATACTAAATGCGACACAAGCTAATGCTGTGTCAGCTGCTGTAATTTATATTTTGATGCGAATCACTCAGATAACTCACTCTCCTAATTGCTGTCTTGTCTGACAGCTTACCTTATGAATACACACTGTCATTGCATGTGTGATGATGCTGTTGACAAACAGGGACATTATTTCATTACATTAAATCTTACCTTCAAACTAAGAGTTTTCTACCTCATTTGTCAATAAAAAACTGCGTACAGACTCCTACTCTCTGACTACAATATTGATCCAACTCCTAAACTGCAACTAATATGACCATTAATCTGCAAATGACCATAATTTAAAAATATTTCTGACAAACCATGATAGGCCCACGTTCAGAGTTGCTCATCATTGTCACGTAAACAACCACCCACTTGTAGCTGAAACTAAATGGATTTCCTGTAAAGCAGCATCAAATCATTCAATCAAGCAAGTCTCCAAAAAGGCATATAATCATCCCAATAAACTAATATTTGCCATGCAGATTTTGATAAATGATAAGAGTAAAATGCACTAGAGGAAGCTCTATAAGCATCTCATCACCCTTTTATTGTCATTTTTTCAAATAAATATAGTTAGCAAAATACTGTTGGAAATTGATGTGCATACAGAAGGAGCCAGAGGCTCTGGAGCAACTGCACTGGGCTAGCATGGAAGTATATAAATAAAGTCACTGCATCAGGCTGTGCCATTGCAACCCTTCAGTTGCAATGGAATGTGCTGGTAATAAGAGCTGCCATAATCACATAGCAGCCGCATAAAAATCTATGCTACAGAAATGGGTGTAAATAAAGCATTTATGCTCTGCTGAGCACAGCATGTATGCTCCGCTGGACAAGGATCCTTTAGGGAATAGGGGTATACAACTGGGAATAGGGATATATATACTTGCTTTTTGTACTGTTCACTTTATTTCTAAAATATGCTAGTATACAAAGTGATCTTCTTTCACAAACTCTTTCTGCCATAATTATGGACATTTTGCTAAGAAAATATCACCATACACACATAGCATTTGTTCAAATCACGTCACAGAAATGATCTCAATAATCACAACAGTCCTATAAGGTGGGAGAGTGGACTGAAGTTCATGGTAACCTACTAAATTCATTTCTGACTAAATATAACAGCTGTCCAAAGGTATGGATTTAAAACAATTTTAGAAAATGCTTCAACATGTACATGCACACGCTGCAGATTGGAATGAAAACACTGAAGGCCAAATTTCACTTCAGAGATGCTTTCAGAGCCACATTTCAGTGGCAGGTGGACCAGAATACCCCAAATACCAAAATGCCAGCTTGTTTGAGCATTTAACATTCTTACTGCCGGCAGCTGAGCCTTAGGAAAGGCATTTCAACCTTTCAGAATTGGAAATAAAATTTCACAAAAGTGGGAAGTAACAAATAGTATGTGGCTGGGAAAGGGGCCATGGATTTATGGGGAATCCCAGGTGGCCAGCCTTCAAGTGCAGCTTCAGGTTCTGCACTTCTGCTCTGATTTTAAAGTGACATGTTCCAAAGGGAAAATATAAAATTTATTATAATTAATTATTTCTCACAAATTTTCTTCCAATATAGTGCAGGTTAGAACCAAAAAATAAAATGATATATTGAAATACAGTATGAAAAGAGAAAATAAACAAACAAGGGCAGTTTATTTCAGGCTTTTGGTGACAAATCAACATGTTTCCCCTTTGTCTAGCAAGTAGAAATTAATGTTTTCAGGCTGTTAGTCAATGAGAACACATTAGCACCAGAGCTGACACAGCATTGGATACTGCCCAAAAAGCTTGGCTGAACAGAACAGTTTTTCACTGGCACTTAAAATTAACAGTGCAGTGGCCTGACCAAAATGACCCTGTCTTTAATAACCACGCTGTTCTCCTCTGATGGCAATGATACCTGAACTTAGAACATAAGAAGGTCACATGGGAGTGGTTTTCCTTAAGATATCCAAGTCCCAGGTTTGTTCAGGGCTTTCAAGACCTAACAACAAGTTATCTGGTGTTACCTGAAACTGTGGGTTATAGCACACATCTCCACAGATGTTTTCATGAATATCACATTCCAAAGACAGACATGCTGCCCAGCTTGGGTGTCTGAATGGTTGCTGTGCTTCAGTGCACCGGCGATGAGCTGTACGCAAGAGATTATATCCAAGGATAATCCCATTGGGTTGACCTGGTGATGCCCAGTTAATCTGAAGTGACCTAGAAAGTTTAAGATAATTCATGACAACTGACTTTAGTTCAAATTCTAAAACCATACAGATATTCTTTTAACAGTGCTGAAACACAAAGAAACCTTGAACTTGACAGAATAAAATATATCTCCTTCCATACCATTATGGAATACTTATGTTATGATTCATCCTTTGGTAGCAGACAAGAGTTGAAGACCTAAATCAGATGTACATACGATCTTCTTCTGAGTTGGTATTAGGAATCAAGATACTCCACTGAGTATTGAACGCAAGCTAGTTAGCATGTTTAGGTTGTATGTGCTGAGTATGGTTCAGGACTGATGCTAACATATCGAGACCAAAATTTTCTACAAGTCCTCTACAAGTCCTAATTGTCTAAACATATTGCTTTGTTTGTCACATGAAGAAGCTCCTCCAGCTGTTAACCCCGCCATTCACCATTCATGCTGCCTTGACACTTTTTACCACACTTAATAGGCTTTAGTCCTGCGGTTAGGGTCTTTTCATAGTCTAGCCCCTCACCTTGTGAAGGAAACGGGGAGCTGTCTTCTTGGGAGAGGACTGGCTGAGAGTGTGTATCCCATCTATTTGTTTTTCCTGAAACACTGTAGGGGAAAGGTAGGCTAGAGTTTCCACATTGATGATGCTAATTTAGAGTTTTAAGGGAAGCAGGAAAACAGGGAAAAGTCCAGCAAATTCCAGAGACTATTTCTTGCAGCACCTCACTGCTTCCAATACCATAAAGTGGCTGTTGCATGCTGCCACTTTATGAAGCTGCAAGTCAATGAACTAGGGGTGGAGAATTGGCCCTTAAATGGCACTTAAGGTGGCAGACTGACATTGCATTTAAAACGGTGTCAGACTTAGGATTGCCATGAGGCATAGCCAAGTGATTGATGCTGTTTCTCTCAAAGAACAGCAGTCCCAGACAGAAAGTTCTGGACTCAGAGTATAAACTATGCAGAGAAGGAAAATGATTAGGATGCAGCATAGAAATATCAATGTTAACAAGCAAGATTAATCAGACAGCTTCTGAGAACTGGACCACACTGGGTTTTGAGGGAGACACTGTTGAACAGGAAGGGTCTGGGGAGGAGTGTGTGAATTTATTAATCCAGCTCGTGCCAAGCAAATGAGCAGACTGTTTAAGTAACATCCAGTGTTCTAGCCAACTGGCCCACAACTGACACAAACTTCCCTGAGGGAAGAGTCAAGCCTTTGGGGAAGGTGTCGTCAGTTTGGAATCAGTTGTTCACATGGGCAAGTGCCATTTCCACAGAGTGGAGAGAATTTTACTTTGGTTGATGTTACCTGAGAACAACCTCCCGTATCACAAGGAAGAACTCTAATGTAAAAGCCTCCAGTTTAGATCTGCTGGGAAAAGGGGCAAAGAGGTGTGCATGGCGATGCAGTGCAGGTTAGTGCGGCTGGGCAGCTGTTGTGCTGTGCTCATTCCTGAAGGCAGGGAGATGAGTGAAGATGTACAGCAGAATAGTGATGCCTACAATCCTCTTTTTCTTCAGCACCTGCTCAGTGGAGCAGCGGGGGACGGGAGGGTGGAGCCAACCCAGGAGCCTGCACCAGAAAAGGAAGGATCTCTCTGCTGCTGGATTCCCATTTTTTCTGTGAACACTCTTTGAATTTGGTTGCAACCAAGCACAACCTGAGCCCCTGATCTTATGCTTGCTTCACTCTTGCCAAGGAAATGAAAGGCTGAAATACGATTGGGACAGTATCACAATAGGTTGGATATTGTCAGGCACCTGCTGCCAGAAAGCCAGAAAGGGTTGGTTTCTGTTTCCTGTCTGTCAGCTGAGCAGAGGTACCTCCTAAAGTACCAATTCCCCCTCTCTGGAATTACTGGAGAACCTTTCCACTAAGGGAGAAGGTTCCACTATTTCTGGAACCTTCTCCCTTAGCATATATTCAGCCTCCCAGAAGGAGAAGAGATCCGAGAAGTGCTTTCATCAGCTCAGCTGAAAGAACCTGCCATTTGTCTTCCTCCTCCAAGACCTGTCTTCATCAACTATTACGATGTATGATAAATGCATTTCAGTTTAAGATGATACTCCATTTTGTACTTTCCATACTGAACATGGACTCAAACACTATTTGCAGTCAGAAGACATATATTTCCAAGCTTGCAATGTGCTTTGTAGCTGATCAAAAAAATGCTCAATAGCATACACACTTTTGAAAAATGTGCATGCAAAAATTTGTACTTCGAAAAATGCACACAACTGTGCTTTAATCAATTGCAGAAGAATGCATGCATTTCAAAAAGGCACACAATTGATGCGTACATTTGGGAGTATACACTTGCAACTATGTACAGATTTTAATGTAGAAAGAAAAAAACTAAACTCACAATCCGATATGAAATTGAATTGGACCAAGCTTCAAGAGGGAAGCTAGAGAACCTCAGCAAGTTCAAGTTCTGCTGATTTGTATGGCCTTATTGGCCATGCTTTTTCCTTCATGGATCACTGCCTTGTCGTGGCGAAGGGGCTTGAGTAGCTCAATGAAGCTATGAGCTATGCCGTGCAGGGCCACCCAAGACGAACAGGTCATAGCAGAGAGCTCTGACAAAACGTGATCCGCTGGAGAAGGAAATGGCAACCCACTCCAGTATCTTTGCCATGAAAACCCCATAGACAGTACCAAAAGGCAAAAAGATATGACTCTGGAAGATGAGCCCCTCAGGTTGGAAGGTGCCCAATATGCTACTGGGGAAGAGCGGCGGGCTAGTACTAGTAGTGCCAGAAAGAATGAAGTGACTGGGTCAAAGCCGAAAGGACACTCAGTTGCAGATGTATCTGGTGGTGAAAGGAAAGTCCGATGCTGCAAAGATCTATACTTCATAGGAACCTGGAATGTAAGATCCATGAATCAAGGCAAGCTGGATGTGGTCAAACAAGAGATGACAAGACTGAACATCATCATCTTAGGAATCAGTGAACTAAAATGGACAGGAATGGGTGAATTTAATTCAGATGACCATCAGGTATGCTACTGCGGGCAAGAATCCCTCAGAAGAAATGGAGTAGCCTTCATAGTCAATAGAAGAGTAGGAAAAGCAGTACTGGGATACAGTCTCCAAAATGACAGAATGACCTCAGTTCAAATCCAAGGCAAACCATTTAACATCACAGTAGTCCAAGACTATGCCCCAACCACTGGTGCTGAAGATGCTGAAGCTGACCGGTTCTATGAAGGCCTACAACACCTTCTAGAATTAACACCCAAAAATGATGTCCTTATCATCATGGGGGATTGGAATGCTAAAGTAGGAAGCCAAAAGATAACCAGGATAACTGGCAAGTTTGGCCTTGGAGTACAAAATGAAGCAGGGCAAAGGCTAGTAGAATTTTGTCAAGAGAATACGATGGTCATAGCAAACACTCTTTTCCAACAACC